TTATTCACAAAAATGATTGTTTATTGAGTTTTAGTTACATCGATTTTTTTTTTTTTTTTTTTTTTTTTTTTTTTTTTTTTTAAAGTAGCAAAAATATTGTTGTAATCAAGTATTGTATCAAATAAGTGTGACTATAAACACTTTCTAGACATTGGATTTTTTTTTTTATTTTGATTATTGTATAACCTTTGGTTACATTAAGTTTTGTTACCCTATAAATTTTAGCATTTTTGACAAACATTTTGTTTTTTATATGACTAGTTTTGCAAAAAAAAAATAAAAAAAAATACACAATAGTAAAGGTGATAAAACATATAAATTGAATGATTTTAACAATTATAAAACAAAATCCATATAGAAATATTTAATTTAAATACTAAATACATAAAGTTGTAATGAAAATATATCTATATGTAACACCCATTTTCTTGGCTGGTAACTAAAGACTCTTAGAGTTTGAGAATAAGGTTTTTCGGAAAACCCTTGGGTACACGACATGGGAGTAAGAGTGTCACGGCCTGACCACATGTTTTTGTGGCGGAATGGTTTGATGTTTGACCGTGAAGCGGTGACCACCACAACCCAAGACCCTAGGTCCCTGACCTTGGGCCCTATTTAAGGAATGTGATTCAAGGGTTTGCTCATGTTCTCCAACCTCCACCTTTAGAAACCTAACCATGAAACCCTAGCCTCTCCTCGCTCCCTTCTTCCTTCCTTGGTGATTTTGGTGTCTTGGGAAGCTTTTGGTGTGAAGATTCAATAGATGCCGGCATTCGTAGCTTGGATTCAAGTATCATCAGCCTTCTTAATCCATTTTTGACCTCTATAAGTCTTCAAGCTTTCACCTTTACGCTTATAGTTTTATGGATCATAGTTTATATGAACGTTTTGGTCCTTTTTGATGGATTTGAGTTGAAGTTTGACAACTCCAGTGTTAAAGGTTGAATCTTTGAGTAGTCTAGACTCATTGTGGTGTTAAAATCTATACTTTAACTTCATTTGAGTGTTATGCATGATTTAGGTGGTATTTTGGCCATTCTTGACCTATGTTGATCTTTGTGTGTTTTGAGGCATGCAAATGGATAAAGTTGGAAACTTTATCCATTATGTCATGGTTTTATTATGATCTGGAAAGTTGGAGTCTTAATCTTAAGGGATTGAGTGTTTAATGAACTTGGCTTCTTCCAGAGCAAACGTGGCGTGACCATGAAGGCTCCACGATGTGGTATCGTATTTAGATCACGTCTGTTTTGTTATGTTGCGTATGCAGCACAAACAATGTGCTTAGTCGTGGTGCAATATCTATTGGACCATTGACTTTTTAACATGTTTGACATTTGGTCAAACTTTGGTAGAATTAAGTATCTAACTAAGGAATGATCTCAGTTTGACATTAGGTGGCTTGTATTAGTTTTTTCTGTTGTTGGGTTGCTGTTGAGCTTCTGCTTTTTAGATAAAGGTGAGTTTTCTCAATATATTACATATTGTTGTATGTATCATTTGTAGGATAGGATATGTTTATGTTGTGGTATGTTATTAATTAAGTAGACTAATTAGTTACTTGCATGTGGTATTGGATTTTCTGTGTCACAACTAGTAAAATTAGGTTAATATGTGAATTCCTAAACAATATAATCTCCTTGTTTAAGTCCAAGAACTCGATCCAATAAGCCCTCAACTTAGTTCTTTTGGGCCATAAGACATTCTTATTGGGCCTTTTGGGCCGAAAACATATACTAGGACCTTAGTTGGGCCGATAGTTATTATTTTTGGGCCCTTTGAACCAAAAACCCTTTCCTAAGCTTTAATAAGTCGAGAATCCTTCATGGGGCCAAGCCAAATCGAAGCCCATCATTTTGGGCCATCATATGGGCCGAGAAACACTGCTAATAGGTTGGCCCATTTAATAAAAGAAAAGAGAAAAAAAAAGGGTGGACTTTTGAGTGCCACCTCATATTTACACATCATATATCTAGGTTATAAGCCAACATGTATCTAGGGAAGGAAGTTTTAACCATCAAACATCAAGGCACAAGTCTTTTCCCTCTCCATTCTCCATATCTCAGCCCAACCCTCCCCATTTCACCTCATTCTTCCCTTCAAACAACACAATAACTCTCTCATATCCCTCTCTAGAACACAAATAGGTTCTTCCTTTTCTCATCTAAAAATCGTGACTTTGGTGGGGTATTTTAAGAGCTTTGCATCAAGTATTATCATCATGGTAAGTTTACTTCACACTTAAGTTGTTTAACCCCATTGTATGCTAAGATCTTTTCTTTAAAATCCACTTTATTTTCGGGTTTATGCTCTTACATCCACCACCATTTTGAGATCTCACCAAAAACTCAAGCTAGGTTTAAAGTTCCATCTTCGTCTTCATCCACATCTCAAAAACCCCAAAGGTGAGCTTCATACCCCCTTGTTTTCGGTTTTATAATCTTTTTGAGCGAGAATACAAGTGCTTTTGTGTTAGATCTATGTATATATGCATGTTTATGTGTTTAAATTTTAGATCTTTACTTGAACATGAAGTTTATCACTTGGATCTTCATAAAAGCCTTGAGAAAAGTATGTGTTCTTTGGCATTCTTTACAACTTCATATCAGTATGAATTTCCTCAAGCTTGAAATTAACATCCTCTCTGACATTCTTTATAGCTTCAAAAAAAGAATGTGGTGTTCTTTGGCAATGGATCTCAAACATTTTACTTCATGATTAAATGACTCAGACTGATGTTTCACACGTAGTTCATTGTTTTTATCACTTCGATCCAACATGGCTTGCAACCTAAGTTTTTGGGCTTTCAACATAACATCTACTTCAATCCCAAAGATGCTATTACAATTTCCAACATTTGCTTGAAGTTGCAACAAGGAATTGAGTTTGCAATTCAGAATCTTGAACTGTTTCCCAAACATTAGCATATGATCTAGAATGTTTTCTTCTTCTGGATCAAATTGGATATTAGAAAATGATACACAAACATCATCATCATTTGTGGTATCATCCAGATTGGATTTGGGTCCTTCAGTGGATTAATAAGGAAACAACAAAGTAATAGGTTGATTCATGATGTTAGAATACGTAGGTGAGATAGTTAAAGCGGGTAAGGATGTAGGAATGGGTGAATCAAATGGTGGTAGCGAAGTGGAAGTATTTATATGTGTGGTTTCGAAAGTAGAAGAGATGATAATGGAAATAGGAACAATGATAGTAGATACATTTGAAATACCATGGGCTTCGAAAGTCGACACCCCATCACCCATGTTGACATTTGTGTCCATATTAGATATGTCCACAGTGATGTCTGCAGTTCGAACCTCCTCCATATTGGCCTTGGCAATCGAAACTTCGGGTGGTATGACTGAAGCCTGCTCAGGGATGGATAATACAAAAATGTTCACCCAAATTAGTGGTTGTGTCCATATGAGCAGTTCCCACATTACCACTAAGACTACTAGTCGCCTTGAAAGTCGACTTGACTGGTGAGTCCCTCTAAGGTGACTATTTTACCCCCCGGTCAAAGTCAACTTCCTGGTTGACCGGACTCGCCGAGTTGGCTCGCCAAATCGTCGAGTCCATTCTATCTGTTCTAGTTCTATACCCGTTTCTACTCGTCGAGCTTAGCGAAGACTCGACGTGTTCTTCTTCGATGCATACATACTAAGTCCAAGTTCATCCGACTCGCGGAGTTGAAGAACAACTCGTCGAGTTTAAGGAAATCTTCATCGGACTCGTCGAGTTGCTCATCCAACTCGCCGAGTCCACGGATATCTTCATAGGACTTGCCGAGTCCAACGTTCTACTTGCCGAGTTCATTCAGTCTTTTTTCCATACAGACCTGATTTGAGCCATGCAGTGGCTCCAAACCACAGATCTAGGCTTCTAGGGCATGCTTATCACGTAAAGTTGCAAACTTTACGTGCATGCATAGCTTTAGGGGCTTCAAATGTCCAAACTAAGCTCTTAATGGGGCTCTAAGCTCAAGTGGGACCTTAATCACAAATATGAATGAAACTTAACACTTCTAGAAGGTAATGAGAGTCCAGATCTGAAGTATAACCCAACCATAAGGTTTCTCTACAAGGATTTGGGGTTTTAGTGCTTAAAAGCAACAATTTAGGGACAAACAAGATCTAATAAATCAATAATCAAGATGGAAACTTTATTACCAGAATGAATGACCCACAAACGAATGTGTTCTGGATCTAAGTCCCCTTGACCTCTTAAACCTCTCCATTCTTCCACTTGCTCCAAAGTGCACCAAAAGTCCCTTCACAAGGCAACAATCACTCAAACTTACCAATGAAGGCTAAGGTTCGATAAGGAATGCTCTGAAGGTGATGGAGGCTGAGATGGGGCTATAAGGACGTTTAAATAGGGTGCAAACCCTAAGGATTAGGGTCTCCTCCTGATTGGCCTACTCGCCGAGTAGATCACTTAAAGCCCGCATCCAACTCGACATCTACTCGGTGAGTTACGACTACAACTCACCGAGTAGCTCTTCCCAAAAAGAAA